GCAATACAGTCCGGCCCTCTCCTAGCACCTGAGCTGGTCAGTGCGGAGGTCTGGGGATAAACCTTCAGGACACTATGAAAATCCTGGAGCATCGGGGGGGACCCAGGGGGCCGAAGTCCCTGGGGTCACACCCCAGAGCCCCGCCGCCCTGCTCCGGCAAAAACTGGAGTCTGTCCCTCGACATAACGGCGGCGGAGGGCCACACACAGCTCTCGGGAGCCCGTCGTTCCCGGTGCAGGACAGGGGCCAGCTGGGATGCTGGCTCACAAAATCCGCATACGCGCCTAGCCAGCATTATTAATGGAAGCGTTCCACCTCTGCGGCTGCGATTTAAAACCCAGGATCGTACTGTGAACAGCAGGTTTCTAACCAGCCCCTGCGGGTGCGCACACAGGGGTGGTAAAGGCTGGGGGAGAGTCACTAAAACAGGCACACTTGACCTCTTTTTTTTTTTTCCCCAACCAATATTTTATTTTTTGGGTGAAAGATCGTTGCTCGGCGGGCCAGCTCAACACGGCTTCTGTTGCTCCCTAGTGACACACGCTGCTCAATCGCCATTAAATCAGCTGATCGCCACAACACCCGTGTCTGTGAGCGGGTTTGGCAGTGGGAAGAGTCATTTTTCACAGCAGAGGGCTGAACAAGCGACACAGCCGGCTCTGTGCTCCTCCAGCTGCTAGGTCTTGTGTAACTAATACCCGTTCCTGCAGTAGTTTTTTATTCTTGCCGCTCGGCATTTTTTATAGATAGAGAGGAGATTTCTATCAACCTGCCACTACATGCACACATAGCAACGATACGTTTGTATATAAACGGAGTATTTATTCGCATCCATTCCTCTCGTCATGGAGCAACGCAACTCGACCTATCCTGTCAAACTGTACATTTACGACCTCTCCAAGGGGATGGCACGGCAGCTTAGTCCTATAATGCTGGGTAAGCACCCCGCGGGGAGTCGCGGCCCGGCCTTCCGTGAAGAAGGCGAGCCGGTGCGGCGTAGGACATCAGGACAGACCGAGGATTTCTTTAGAGCGGCAGGCCTACGGGCTTAAAGGTTGTTGTCCTAGTACTAATAACCGTCGGTTGCCGAAAATGAAAATTCTCCCTGTTGTGTGAAAAATGCGAATACATGATTGTACTTGAATACATGATTGAGTGATGAAGCCATTTATCTTGTGTGTTACACGAAACATTCATAGTTAAACGACATTTCCTCGTATCTCTTCGGTAAAAAAACAAACTAGAGCACTATGTTTATACATCGACGGTGAATGGGACTTCAGGTGTCACTGAAACCTTTATACATAACATTTTTCAGCGACGTTTTTTTTTTTCTCGATATCTCAGACCGCAAACCCGCAGAAATAATTAAATTAGTGTTATTAATATACGGTCCCATTCGGTTTCCGGGCGAGACATACAGTACATACAGGCAGGTAAATTTATTGTCGCGTTTCCATTAAATCGGTTTAATGGAAACCGTGTGGAAGAAGGGTTTTGACTATATATGCGATATCTATATGGAGCTTGTCTTACACATTTATTTTATTCGACAGGATTAAAAAAAAAAAAGAAAGTACCGTAGAGAAGGAGGTCAGTGTACAAGGAGGAAACATGAATTGGCAATTTCTGATCTTACGCCCCCAGGATGTAGCTCAGCTGATCTTTTCCCAGAATAAAACACGAACGTCGCTATGATCCCTCTAAAACCTTCCTACACGACACCACGGTAAAAAAATAGTGGTATTTTAAAACGTCCCTTACACCCTAACGCGTACCAAGGAAAATATATTTTAAAGGAATGGATTTCCTGTTGTTTCGTGTTGGGAGATTGCCATGTAGTCCTGTCATAATTGCCTACTGGGAGTCCCAGTTGATCCCAGTAAAATTTGGTTTACTGGTTTGGCAACTGGTCTCTAGGAATTGGGGAGGGAGTCTTGCTTGATATGAACTTGTACTGTTGACCAGTCCAAAGTGAAGGGATGGTGCTGTACTGAACTGCTCTCCATGTTGTTGGTGGTGGTTGTTTTTAACTGGGTGGAATGTACAGTACCGGTCTTGACCGCCTGAAACGGTCAAGCGGTCAGTGGAGACTGACTAACTTGACAAGCGGTCAGCAGGGACCAGCTGAGCCATGTCATCTAGGCTTGTGCAGAGGCCTGTCAGGGCTCAGGATGGGCTTCGGAGCTTCCACAAGGCTTATCGGGAACAACTGGCTTTCTGGTCATGGTGGTGGGGGGTAGCTACGGTATATGGAAACGTACTTATATACCATTTTTATTATTTTGCAGGCAAACAGCTAGACGGCATTTGGTAAGTACAAGAACAGGTACAAACTTCTTTCCATCCCCCTGGGTCAGGGGGGTGCCTGACTCCTGACCGCAGGGGGCGCTGTCCTGGGAGGAGTTAACAGGTCTTAGACACAACAAGCCCACCTCTGAGCGGGGGGCGCCGTGTCGAAAAAAATTCAAAACTCCCCCCTGGAAAAAAATGCCATCCAGTTTAACGTGCCGAGTACGGGAGAAGGAGCTCAGATCACTCTGGATCGGGAATGAGGCAGGGCGCCTCATCCCCTCCCTGTCAGCTCCTCTCCTCCTTTGCCTGTTGTGTTTGTTTGTTCCACGCCTCCACAACCCTCTGTGTAAAGAAGCCCCCCCCTCCCCCCCACGAGGCCTGTCTGGGCCCGGGCCCTGACTGTGTGCTGTCTTGTGTCGCAGGCACACCTCCATCGTGGTCTACGGGGATGAGTTCTTCTTTGGGGGAGAGGGGATCTCCAGCTGCCCTCCGGTAAGACGCCGTCTAAAAGACGCCCCCCTCGGCCCTAGATCTGCGGCGCACCCCCTCCTGCTCCTGGAAGCCCCTTCTGCATTTTCATTCCAGACGAGCTCTTAAGCGATCAAGTCGACCCTAGGTTGACCTGTAGCTGGTGGTGGAAGGATTTTAAAATCGAGTTTTGTATTTTTTTGGTCGCATCCACCCGATTCTGGAATCGCTAGTCCTGCTTGTTTTGCGTTTCGCCACGCAGCTCCAAAAAACCCTGCAGCCGCACACGGGGAGGGGAGCGAGTCTGGGGGGGTGAAGGAGGAAGCGTTGTGTGTGCAGCTCTCCTGCAGCAGAGTATTGTTGGAACCAAGGCCCGAAAGCAGCTTGAAATGGTCTACTCAGGCCAGATTAAACCCAATAAAGGGATCGACTGACCTCAGCAGTTAAGAGCTCAGTAAGAACTTATAACAGGAGAGTAAGGGGTTCCCTGGGACTCAAGATGAGACCCCACTCCCTCTTCACCCTGTATCTCAGTACTCCTGCACCCTATACTCTATACCCCAGCTCCCTCCCTGCACACTGTACTCGGATCTCTATTCCCTGGGCTTCACAACAACCTGCTACAACCAGAGCCAGGTGTCATATTCAAATCCACAACACACGTTACACACTTACCTTCCCGTTCTGAGGACCTCCCCTCCAGAGTGAGATTTTTCCATCCAGGGCAGGGGGCGGGCCTTCCTGACGCAAGGGGGTGTGGCTTGTGTGATTTCAGGGCGGGACCATGCTGGGCCCTCCCAACACGGTGGTGGACCTGGGCAACACAGAGGTGACTGAGGAGATCTTCATGGAGTACCTCTCCTCTCTTGGAGAGTCCACCTACAGGTCAGGAGGGGCACTGCAAGGGGGCTGGGGGTTATGAACAGGGGGGGCTGGTTAGGCCTCTCTGCCTGTGTATCAGTCACTGGGAGTGTCATCTCCGATGTGTCAGCTGATGTTCTCTGTCTGACTTAACTTTTGTAGCCCCAGATGGGAAATTTGCTCGGTGGGCAGATATAAGACGGAACACGATCCACAATCCATTTAACATAAACATAGACAAGACCCCACTCACAAATGAGAGACGTGTGTATGACGAGGAAAAAAAGAATGTGTGTGTGTATATATAAAGTAAAATGTATAGTCGGTTGTCCAGATGAAGTAGGCTTAATAGCCAGGGGAAGAAAAGGGATAACTCCATTCTATGGCACTTGAATGTGGGATTTGTGGTTGAAGTGGACACTCAGATGGGAGCTCAGATTCACTGTGCAAGAGGAAGTGATTATATTGGCACTGTTCGGTTGATGTCGATGTCTGGCAGCTGTAGCACCAATAATCCTGCAGGCTGACTTCACTGCCTGTCTCCATCTCCCTCTCTCCCTCCCCATATTTCGGGGCGCTAACTGATGTCCCTGTGCCTGCAGGGGGGATCGTTACCGGCTGTTTGAGCACAACTGCAACACCTTCAGTAACGAGGTGGGTCAGTTCCTGACGGGGAGGAAGATCCCGGCCTACATCACTGACCTGCCCTCCGAGGTCCTGTCCACGTGAGTGTCTCCCCAGCCTCGTCAGCCAATTAACTCGCCGGTGGAATAATTGCGGGGGAGAGAGAGAGAGAGCTGTTCGCCACCGCTCCCTCGCTCTATAAACCCCGAACCCTCTCTGATCCGCCAGCTCTCGGGAGAGGACATAAATACTCCCAGCAGGCGTGTAAAGAGCTGTGAAACTTGTCACGTCCTCTGTGACGTAGACAGTGATGGAGCTCAGCTCTTGTCTTCACATAATAAGAATGTAAGAGGCCATTTGACCCATCCAGGCCGTTTTGTTGTTAGAAGTTAATCGATCCAGAGAATCTCGTCCAGCTCTTTCGCGTAAGAAGCCAGGGTATCGGCTTCAACAACACGGCTGGGTGGCTTGCTCCACACCCCCACCACGCTCTGTGTAAAGAGGTGCCTTCACGTCGGGGTCCGAAGTGCACTTCCACGTAGTTTCCACTTGGTGCCCTCGGGTTCGTGTGCTGACCAGAAAGCCCTGGGCCGGCTTCGTCGGCGCCTTGGAGGGTTGTGAACGCGGTGAGGAGTGACGGCGAGCTGCAGGAAGCTCGGTGCCGAGACTCGGGCCTGCTCCTGCTGAGGCTGGGGAGATCAGCGCACTGCTCTGCAGGCCCCTGGTCTTGTATGGCAGGCGGCTCGCGAGACGGGTCAGGAGAGAACTGCCTGAGGCGGTGACGGCGCCGTAACGGTACAGCGCGCGCGCGTAGCGTGGGTGTCTTACCCACCCCGTCTCCGCGCGCGCCCCCGGGCTCGAGCCGGCGGCTCTTTGGGCTGACGTAGCGTTGACCACGCTGTCTGTGTTGCAGGCCCTTCGGACAGGCGCTGAGGCCTATCCTGGACTCCATCCACATCCAGCCCCCCGGAGGGAACATCATCAACGGACACCAGGGGCAGAGCTAGAGAGCGCCGGACCCCACGCGCCGGGGAGACTGTCGGGGGGGGGGGGTGGGGAGGCAGCCAGCCCTGATCCCAGCGAGCCGCGAGGAGCTCCCAGGGTCCCATTCCGAAATCCGGGCCCCCAGGGGAAGCAGCAGGCTCTCCGATCTTAGGAATAACTGGACCAATCAAGGAGGCTGCTGAGGCCCCGGTGATGTATAAGATCTGATATTGTACATCAGTCCAGGATCTGAAAGGTCTTATATTCTGTACCCGTCCACGATGTATAAGATTCTAGATCTATAAGATCTTGTATTTTAATTCTGTCCAAGACCTGAAGGATCTTATACTGTATACCTATCCAAGGTCTATAAGATCTTGTATTTTAATTCTGTCCAAGACCTGTAGGATCTTGTATCGTGTATCTATCCCGGATCTACAAGCCCCGGAGGTCTGTGGCTCCCCAGGACCAGGGCTGGCATTAAGTCTTTAAAGGGTTCGGGGAAGGGTGGGAGTCTGGGGGACGTGGGGGTGTGGGGGGCGTTTTTAGGGTTGTATTTTTGAAGCTGTGTCATTGCCTTGTCAACGTTTCATTGTAATACAAAAAAAAACTGACGGGAGAGACGGACGAAGACGAGAGGAGGTGGGGGGGGGGTCGCAAAGGGCTCCCCCCTGACCCGCCTAAGGGTCATGCCCGGGGTCAGAGGTCAGGTCTCAGAACGGGTGGTCGGTGCTGGATCTCCAGAGGCGCTCCGAAGACGTCCAGGGGCTGTGGGTGTGAGGTGCTTCCCACTGGTGACCAACAGGAAATCAGACACGCCCTTCGTTAGTCAACCCATTGATTAGTTGATTGATTGATTGACCATTGACTTCAAACCTTTCTGGGTTGAAACCGTGGGAACAGACGAGGACTTTGTGGTCTTGATTTTTTTTTGTAAACAGTATTTATTAATGATCTATTTAATATACTGTACGTTCTTTCTTCTCTGTAAATGCCCGGCCGCGTCGCGCAGAGGGGGGGCTGTGTTGGAGCCCGTTCGAAGGAATCGCAGGCCGAGCTGCTCGTGAGAGACCGCCCTCGGTGAGCCGAGGTGTGCAGGTGCATGATGGTCCTGAGACCGTGAGCGCGATCCTAGATGAGAGGAGGCCCCTGGGCCCACCTGGGTCGTGTGTGTGTGTGTGTGTGGCGGTCATCGTCGTGGATACCAGGGATTCGGACAGGTGGGAGCAGGCGGGCCAGGTGATTTAACCCCAGCAGTGGGGATGGGCCGGAGACGGGGCTCGCCAGCGCCACCGTGGGGGTGAAAGAAGACCCGGTTCTGGCCAGGGTCCGGCCCCAGAGGGCTGTGAGGCCCCAGCCGTGTCGGGGGAGGAAGCGCGACCCTCCTGCGGCCCCCCCGAGATTCGGCGAGCAGGGATCCCGGAACGGGCCGGACGCAGGGGGGCGGCCAGGTGCACTGACACTAGAACCCATCGCGCTGCCATATTTCATATCTGTATATCTTTGTGTTTGGGGACTGGTCTAGCTTTATTTGTGACATTGTTTTGACTTAATTCTTTGTCATGTTCCCTTCTTATTATATTATATTGTTGTTGTTATTATTACTATCGAGCAATTTGTATGCTTTCGAACAGTATGTGCAGCAAAGCCATGAATCCAGCTGAACCTGTCTGACCTGTGACCTGTGACCTGTGACCTGTGCTGCAGGGCTCAGCGGCTGCTCACCGTTCTACATTAAAGCTGAAACTCTCTCTCCTGCGTCCCTGTGTCTTATTTTTATCCCCCCTCCTCTCACGGGCACAACCCGCAAGAGTCGGCTGTTTTGTGTTTGGACCGGAGGATCAAGTTTTTGAGCTGGAAATGGGAACCTGTAGCCTCTCCCCCCTCTCCCCCCTCTCCAGGCACGAACTCAGAACCAGGACCCTGAGCTGCTGTTGCTCTGCTCACTGGAACCCAAAGAGGAGAAGAGGGATTCTTGCTGACTGGAGTCGTACTCCACCAGGTGGCACCAGAGGCCCATCTCATTTCTGCACTTCATTCAGGACAAATCAGGGCGACTCAACCTGTGTTGGTCCTGCAGTCTGCCTCATTTCAGGATCTTGCTACAGATGGCTTGTTAATTATTTAGCTGATAATTAGAAAAATCAATAGTTCAATTATCTATAAGTGCACTGGTTGCATTAAAGCCAGTGACACACATTGATTAAAGCCAGCGATTGACCTGGTCGTTGCTCTGTGCGTTTTCTCTTACCTTCTGTCTGCCTCTCTCCTCTACTCCTTGACTCTTTGCAGTCTTAGTCCTGGAGGGGTCAGTGTGTCTGCAGCAGGGCTGTCCAGTCCTGGTCCTGGAGGG